CCCACACTGAAAGACCTATTAAAACATCAAATCAAAACTAGAATCCCCTATGGAGTGAAATCAAAAGTTAAATTTATCTGAATATTTATTTTTTATTCAATTCATTTAAAAATTCAAATTTTTATGGCATCTAGAATTTTCTCGTATGTTACTAGAAAAGTAATAGATTAAAAACTTAAGAGTCTTTTTTATGCAAAGATACATTTGCTATAATGCCATTCTACTGTGTCATACATATTTCATAGTAAATTAAACCACATTTTATAGGCTGTGTTGCTAATGTATCAAATACAATGCCATGAAATCTTTGAGCACTCCAGCTTTTTGAACTGTACTATTTTGCCCTTACAGGCAAGGATGAAGTTTAAGGGTTTTAAATTCACATTTTTATAAAAAGTGTGAATAATAGTTTTCAAGCAACACTTACTGTGATATTTTAACCCATATAGATATAAAATTTGACATGTTTACTTTTGGTTTTATTATTTTACCTCTCTCTTTTTTTCTCTCTCTTCTGCTATATTCTTCAAAAGTTAGGCAAGTTTCTGGCCATCTTGCCACAGGTTTGAGTTTATAATCCAATATAAACATGCTTGAATATTTTAAAGTAATCCTACCCCCAGAGTTGGTCTACTTTTTTTCCCCCGACAGATGTTTTCTTCCCTGAGTCAGTTATTTATTGCTATGTAACAAACTACCACAATACTTAGTAACATTTTTTTTTAAGTATGTTATTTCTCAAGTGTCTGTGGCTTTGTTGGTCTATGCTGGGCAGTTATGCTCCATGTGGTACTGTCTGGAGTTACGTGATGTACTCAGGTAGGAACTTAGCTGGAGCTAGAACATGCAACATGACTTTACTTATACGGCTGGTGCCTCAGGGGAAGTGGCTGGGATGGTGTGGATAGAGAGACATGTGTGGGGAGAGAGAGAGGTAGACCTCTCTCTTTCTGCATGTAGTTTCTCATTATTCAGTAGTCATCTGAGTTTCCTATATGGTGACTAGATCCCCAAGACAGTGAAAATGGAAGCTGCAAGGTCTCTTAAGGCCTAAGCCCATAAGTCACATAAGATCTCCTCCATGCATTCTGTGGTTCAGAACAAGTCCTGGGGCAAGCCTAGGTCCAAGAGGAGAGGATATAGATTGACCTCTCGATAGTAAAAAACAAAGTGGCATGAACTTACAGGAATGGGGGAATTGTTGGTAGCCATATTTGCATATAATTTACTACTCCATGTACAGAAAAATGATACCAAGTGGACTCTTCTTCTTGAGAGTGGGTGCAATTAAAATTCTGAGGTTTTTTGTAAATTTTGTATTTAACAATATTATTTAATTCTTACATATGTTTTATATATATTCTTATATAGTTATAGTAATAGAGTTTTATATAAAATATGGCACCTATTGAAGAGAGAATGAACATTCTTTCCTTTTAATCATGATCTGCGGTTTTGTTTTTAATTAAGTCTTATGATCATACATAATTTAAAAATTCGTGTATATCTCCTCTACTTTAATCGTTTTAAGTTGGCAAAAGCACCATTCCCAATCACAAATACACAGCAGTTCTACATTTTTCTGTTTCTGAATGGCTGTTTTTTGTATTTGTTTGTTTGTTTTGAGACGGAGTCTCGCTCTGTCGCCCAGACTGGAGTGCAGTGGCGCGATCTCAGCTTACTGCAAGCTCCGCCTCCCTAGTTCACATCATTCTCCTGCCTCAGCCTCCCCATTAGCTGAGACTACAGGCATCCACCACCACGCCTGGCTAATTTTTGTATTTTTAGTAGAGATGGGGTTTCACCGTGTTAGCCAGGATGGTCTCGATCTCCTGACCTCATGATCCACCGCACCCGGCCTCTGAATGGCTGTTTAAAGACAATCCTAAAATATAACTTAGTTTGACTTAGACTGTAAATAATTCAAGAGTGAAGTTTATCTTGCTACTATTTTAAAAGCATGTGACCTTACAGATGATCTGTAAAATGTGAGAAGTGTTAAATAATCTTTATTTGATACTACACATAAACCACACTAAAATGCTTTTCAAGAAGTAAAAGGAATCATTTTAAATACAAGGAATTCTAATTAGATTGGCATAGTTAAGGCCAAAAATATAAAGTAGACATTGCTACCTTATCTTCAACCCTTGCCTTTAAGAGGTGAACACAAAACACAGGTGAATCTTGCTTGGTTCTGAGATAATAAAGGAATTTCCCCAGTATTTAAATATATTCACATAACCAGTTATATGAATCTAAATATAAAACCAATCTCCAATACATTTTAAGATGGCATTCACCCTCTTTGTGAAAAGTTGAACATTACTAATAAAGCCTAATCATGTCTTTAGAAAGGGTAAACAGTGATAGCGTTTACTGAATTGGAATTACTATTAAAATTCAAAAAACTGAACATATTCATTTAACAACAAGCCAGTCTTGGTTTTGCATCAGGACTGGCCAACAAAACATTCTGTCAGTTATTCATGATCTGAATTCTGGTGTGTGAGGTCTATTAAATTATGGTACACATAAAAAAGTCATAAGACATTTCTGTTTTGTAATAAATAAGGCAGTGGCCAATTATTACTCATTAGTAGCTGTTTTGAGATAAGCTTGTTCTTTCTGCCTTCTTCTTAATGTTGGCAAAGATAATTTTGTTCTAGGGATGTACTCCTTGGGATTCTCCAAATACTCCATCAATATCTCCTCTCCCCAGGTGATGCCTTTGTTCTTACTGGCATCTGCACAAAAGAATCCAGCAGCTTGACCTGTCTTCCATCTGAAGAGACCATGGAGATTAGGCCCAGTCCTGTGCTGGCCTGCCTTTTCCATGCTGTGGCACTAGGCACACTTCTGAATACAAATCTTCTTGCCTTTCTCAACATCATATTTAATCCTCTCTTTCGTTGCTTGTGCTATGAAGGATGCCACTCAGAAGCTGGATGTCCCACTCTCTGGATATTCTTTTCAAGTCAACAAAATAGTTGGGTTTTGAAGTTCAGCACATGTCTAGTTAGCTCTGTCTGGTCATAGCAGAAGGACCCTGAGCAAGTTTCACTTTTCTCCTCTGTATTTACAGGATTATTGTGAGAATTAAATAAGTCTATATATATATATATATATATATATATATATATATATATATATATATAAAATGCTTAGAAAAGTGCCTGGTGCACAATAAGTATACAATAAATATTGGCTTTAGAAATATACATTATCAGTATCTATTATAATAGCAACACCTTTGGCCTATACCTCCTGGAGCTGTCAAGCTCTTTGTGGTTTTATTAAGCTTAATCACTAATCCTGATTACTTCTCCTGGCTGCACTACCTCCTGCCAAGTAAAAGTAGAAAGTTATCCTTACTCCTTCATCGGTGTAAGAACAGGCTGATTAACAGGAGTCCTAAAGAAGTGATTTACCAATGTTAAAAAAAATTGAAACCCATATTAATATAATTTCTACTGTATCCCAGGCCAGGACATAGACACACAGACACTCACCCACACATGATACGGGACAAATGTTTCATGAGGAATACTTATCCTGAATTTATGCTTTGAACTCTGTTTTTTTCTATTTTTCAGTGAATCAACAGCAACAAAATGTTGGTTGTGACTCATTGTTATTAATTTCATTACCTACCAAAGGGTTCTAAGCTATATCTTATGGTCAGTGGAGAATAGGCTACTAACACATTAGACTTTATGCACAGGAATTGTTTCAGGTGTGGTACTATAAGAATATGTCACATGGAATTTCCAATCTGGTTGGCTTGATTACAGAGCAAATTGCTCTTTGAGAAATACACCTTGGACTCCCTACTCAAGAGGCTTCATAAATTCTTTCAGTGAGACGTAGCAGTCTAGGAGAGGCATGTGTAGAATAAGTGTTATGGTTTTTAGGTACTATAATAAGCAAAGTGCCTTTTTGTTTGTTTGGAGCTGCATGAAGCTAGGCTGGAATTCCAGCTTCATAATTTACTACCTTGTATTTTTGAGCAAGATATTTAAACTCAATTTTGGAGTCTTAGTTTTTTGATTTAAGTAATACACAAATAGCATAATATTGGTGCAAAGAAAACAATGAGAATTCATTTCATGCTTTCTCCCCTGACCACAGATACAAACTCCAGAATTCATAGTTATTGTTAGTGTGTTTTATATTTTTGGAGGAAAGCCAAAATTTGGTAGAATATCAATTCTATATTAACGCACTATAGTCAAACTCTACTGTTAAATACAATTTAATTTCTGCAACCACTGATGATCCCAATATTCTATCAAATAATAGATAATATTCATTATTTTAGAATATGGATCTGAATTATGAAATAATTTTGCATTCTCGGGTCTTGTATAGTAAGATTTGAATTAACTTCCCAATTATCAACACAATTGTGGGAAAATGTCCTGAGAAAAAACATTTCTAACTATTGTGTAGTCATAATTTTAAAAATAAACGTGACTTGGAAAATGCAAGAACTACTTTTCTTCTTGCGTGGTGCATTAAAGGTGATCAGAATTCTAACGACGCTGGACAGTAGGATTTTCAGAATCAGTTTCCTAGGATTCAAGAAGTCAAACGGCAAACAACCCAAGGTCCTTGGTGGATCTGACCATCTCAGGTATTTCAAGATATCTAAGATGACCTAGCTGGCGCATCTCTGAGATGGGTGGGTCATTTAAAATGTTCTGCTCTTGAGGCTGAGATTTTGTGCGTGTGAATGGTGGGGAGAAAGCAGTGACACATTTTTCTTCCTCTCGTAGTGCCACCCGGCGCAGGGCTACCGCCGCGGCAGGTCCCACGTGGCAAGTTCAGCTTGTGCAGCGCCGGGCCGGGGGCGGCGGGCGGGACCGCAGACCCCTCCCTCCGCTCTCCGGCGCTTCCCTCCGGCAGGCCCGGCCGCCCACTTGGTCCTCCACCGCCAGGGGGCGGGCGCGGCTTCCAGGCGGCGGGGGCCCATTGGTCGCGGCGGGGAAGCGTGGGAGGAGGCCCAGCGGCGAGCTGGCTTTCTCCTGGTCACTCGCGGGGGTGAGGGGCAGCAGGAGGAGTCCGAGAGGAAGCGGAGTCGCGAGCTGGAGGCGGCGGTTCCCGTCGGCCTCCGGCAGGACTGAGTGCTGGGAGGCCGGAAGGCGGGCGCGTACGGCGGAGAGGCGGGAGGGAGGCCGGTGAGACGGCTGGGAAGCGAACGGAGCCGGGGCTCAGGTTCGGGGAGGGATGGAGGAGGGCGGGGGAGGGGGACGCCCACCTACGTCCTCAGCCTCCGCGCACTCTGCGGTCGCCGGCCGGGGGCGGGCCCCGGGGCCCGGCCGCGTCGTCACGGCGTGTCCGGCTGTTGGGGAGGGCGCAGGCGGGACCGGGGTCCCGAAGAGCCGCTGGCCGGGGTTCTCCGCCGCCGCCCCGGCATGGGCATCCCCGGGCTCCGCGGAGACGGGGCGGCGTCTGCACCTGGCGCTGGCTCTGGGCGCCCCGGCCTGGGGCGGGCACCTGGGTCGCGTCTTCCCCGGGTTGGCGGTGGCTCAAGCCCCCTGCAGCGTGTAGGCTGAGAGCTCCGAGAGGCGGAGACGGAGTTGAGTGTTGCATTTCAACTCCATAGGGGGCCGTTTTGACTCACTTGTAAAGTTTTAGTGTCCCCTATACTAGAGGTACTTTTGGTTTTTTACAACCTATCCAGCCCTTTGATGTTCGTTGTCTTTTCTTTTTCTTCCCATTTGTTTGCTACTGCTCTCACAGCTCGGGACCACGGATGATTAGTGGCCCTAGATCTGAGTATGTGAGTGACGGACTGGCAATTTGAGATTGAGAGCTCCAGCTGTTTTGCTTGTGGGAGGGGCGGTTTCCATCATCCTCTACCTTTTTTTTTTTTTTTTTAAGAAAAAATGTTATTGCCTATAATACAGAACTGCTGTCTAATTGATAGGACTTTTCCTTTGTTTCTTTTTGGCCAACATGGTGAAACCCCGTCTCTACTAAAAAATACAAAAATTAGCCAGGTGTATGTATCCATATATATGTATGTATCCAATATATATGTATGTATCCATATATATGTATGTATCCATATAGATGTATGTATCCATATATATGTATCCATATATGTATGTATCCATATAGATGTATCCATATATGTATGTATCCATATAGATGTATCCATATGTATGTATCCATATATATGTATCCATATATGTATGTATCCATATATATGGATACAATGACATAAATAATATTAGATTGCCTACTGTGTACTAGGCACTGCCAAATGGTTTCATGTGCTCATTTATTCTCACAACAGCTCAGTGAATAAGTCCCTTTATCTTCCCCAGTTTTACAGATGGAAATATGAATTCCCAGAGTGTAAAGGTCGATGCTGATAGCAGAGGCCCAGACCCTTTGGACTTGTGGCCAACTTGCAGTTACATTTGTAACTTACAGAGTACCAGCAGATCTCCATTGAATTTAGAAAATAAAAGTTAATCACTTATTGAAAGTCATTTAACAAGAAATTGGCAGAATCAGCAAATCAGCATCCGGTTTTGGTCACTTCATTGACCTGTACCTCTTTCTGGAGGCTGCTAGTAGTCTCTTGTGTTTCTTGGCTGTTTACCAATTAAGTCACAAGGTTTTCAGTTTTATACAGGTGTTAGAAGCTTTGTTTCACAGATTCTTGTAATGTTTTCTCAGCTCAATAAAGACTAGCATTTCTTCATAGGAAGAAATAGGAAGAGTTGGAACCAATAAAAGGAGTTCAGTCCAGCGATTCTCAACCTGAGATTGAGTCCAGCGATTCTCAATCTGAATTACCAATGGGAACTTTGTAAGAAGGACATAGGACAGGTTTCTCAAAATCCTCATTGTAAGGGGCTTCTGTTTCAAAAGGGAGTAAAAATAAGATACTACTGGCTTAAAGTGACTTTAAAAATAAACTTAATGGATGTTTTGTTACAATTACAAAGTTTTAATATGGATTGCTGCCTTAAGCATTGCCAACTAATCTTTCATAATTTATGAAGATACATTAAAAAGGAAAAGGAAATTGGAAAACAGATTCAAAAGGCTAAGAGGCTATGGAATGGCAAAAAGTAATGTTCCCTGTGGGGGTATCGTAAGACTCATATATTTTTCACCATATATTTTAGGTTTTAAATGATTCATCTCATTTTTCAAAAATTTTTATACTCTTAAAAATATTGGAGTGCCTACCATGTGCCAGTAATTATAGATATCATGGATACTCTGAATAAGACAGCCTGGGCACTCACAAAGCTACTTTATTTTTTCTGAGGGAGTTTATGTTGTTTTTTGTTTTTTGTTTTTCACAGTTTTATACCCATTTCTTAAAGCTGAAAGGTACAAGACCCAAATAGCAAAAGATTTTTATGTTAGCTCTGAGCTAGATAGATTTTTGTGAGACCTTGATACAGTAGAAAAGTTTGTCTTGAATTTAGTCCAGAAGCATCTCTGTTATTGGGACCAGATGATCAGGATTTGAAGCATTGGTTCTGTATTTAGTTATTTCAAGAGTGGCATTGACTAAATTACCTAATATCATGCAGTACTTTATTAATCTGATTGAGTAGACTGAACCAGGTAATTTCCCCAAATCTTTAAAGTTTTAAAAGATTTTGTACTTTCTTTTAATGCAATTTGAGACACAATCAGCTGTCTTCCTCTCGGAGGAGGAAATTATGTGTTGTAATACCCCTACGTCTCTCCGGTGTACCCATTAATATTCTTTCATTTTCTTCTCCATTGGCCTGCTCCATTTGATTGAAGCTGTTTTTATATTTCCGTTATTTTTAATCTAATTTTGAAAATCTGCTATTCATGATTTTTCCAACTCCAGTGAGTTTTTTTTTTTTCCAATTTTCTTTCTTAAATTAAATTCCTATAACAGAATTTTTCATTTTATTACATTATTTACAAAGACAGGGTACCCCACTCTTCTGCAGACTAGAGTGCAGTGGTGTCATCCTAACTCACTGCAGCCTTGAACTCCACCTTAGCCTGTGGATTATCTAGGTTTACAGGCATGTGCCACCACACACGACTAATTTTTTAATTTTTTTTTTCTTAAAAGACAGGATCTTACTATTTTGCACAGGCTGGCCAAATCTGCCCTCAAGCAATCCTTCCACCTCAGCCTCCAAAAGCTCTGGGATTACAGACATGAGCCCCTATGCCTGGCCAAATTTTCCATTTTAAAGTGTGGCGTTTAGCACGTTCACAGTTTTATGAACCATCACGTTTCTAAAACATTTTCATCACCGCAAAAGGAAACCCCATATTCATTAAGCGGTTGCTCTTCATTCCCTTCTCCCTACCAATCCTCGGCAACCACTCATCTGCTTTCTGCCTCTATTAATTTATCTATGATGGGTTTTCCTAAAAATTGAATAATTCAATATTTGTTCTTTTGTGTCTGGCTTCTTTCACTTAGCATATTTTAGAGGTTCATCCTCTAAATCAGTAGCAGGTATCAGTACTCCATTACTTTTTATGGGTAATATTCCATTGTGTATTCCATTCATATACACCATTACATGTATATCATTTCATTGGTATGTACTGCATTTTGTTTATTCATTTGTTGAGTTTTTGTGTGCTGTTGAGAAAGTTATATGAAGATCTCTAACTTGATTTTTGTCATAATCTCTACAAGGCTTGCTAACGTATTGTTACGGTATCAGGTGTGCTACCTAACATACCATTCATTACCTGCAGTTAAGTGATTATTAAATGAGTTTTGAAGGACACAAGGTCAACAAAAATGGATTTTTAAGTTGGTTCAGTTGATACGTGGTGTGGTTTGGTTCTGCATCCCCACTCAAATCTCATCTCAAATTGTAATCCCCGTGTGTTGAGGGAGGGAAGTGATTGCATCTTGGGGGCAGCTTCCCCCATGTTGTTCTCGTGATAGTGAGTTTTTAAGAGATCTGATCGTTTTATAAATGGCAGTTTTTCCTGCACTCTCGCTTTTCTGTCTCCTGCTGCCTTGTGAAAAAGGTGTTTGCTTCCCTTTAGCCTTCCACCATGATTGTAAGTTTCCCAAGACCTCCCCAGCCATATGGAACTGTGAGTCAGTTAAACCTCTTTCCTTTATAAATTACCCAGTCTTTATAGCAGTGCAAAAACCGACTAATACAATACGTTTGCACAACATTTTACAGTAGAAGCATCTTACTGTCTGTTCTTTGCAGGTGTTTGCTGTTAAAGAAAGTTAAACTGAGGCACGATAAACTTTAGAGTTTATTTGAACAAACAGTTCATGAATTGAGCAGCTCCAAACCAGATCTGGGAGCTCCACCAGGGGAATGCAGGAGGGAGGCTTTTGTAGGAGGGTCACAGATGTAAAGCAAAGAAAATATTTGATTGGCTACAGTCATACAGTTGTTTTATTTGCTCTATCATGTTGGAAAGTCCGCTAGGTGGGTAATTAGAAGTTTGTTGGATGTTTCTGATTGGTTGAGCTTAAGTTCTCTTTTTCTTTAGCATAGGCGTTTATAAGAAGTAACTTCCAATTTTGCTTGTGTTTGTGAATCAAGTAAGGTTGATGTCACTTAGGAGTCCTGATTGGTTTTGTCTGCTCAGGGATTCTTCAGGCCTGGTTTTCATTTTAATTTACTTCAGCAGTGCTAATTCTCATTCAGTTTTTGTGGTACAAATGATGTGCCAATACTGCATTTCATCCAGGGCCCTCGGGCAATGGAACCATTCTGTTTCTCTGTTTCTTCATTTGGAGGGTGTGACTGATGGAATTATGTCTATCCTGGTGCACTTAAATTCTGCAGACTACTTAAAAACAGCATAAGTAGAGTGGATACCTAAGGGAATTCTTAAACATTTAGAACAGGAACCTATAACTTCTCATCTAGTATAATGTAAAATAGTTACATGAGATGAAGATAGCAGTTCTACTGTGTGTAAATGTGTACCTTTCTCTAATCTCATTTTAGCAGTTTATAAGCGGGACACTTCATTACCCCATTTATGTTCAACCTGTAATTATTAATGTATTTCATTTTATTGTTGTCGTTGTTTCTAAGAATAGCTATTTCTTTCTGTCCATCCATTCATTCATCTATCCATTTCTCCGTGAATGGTGTGCTGTAGGATTAAGGTAGCTTAGATCACAAATGTTTAAACAATTATAGAACTCAAAACAGGCAAAACTGAATGTCATTTTGTAGAGGTCTGTCTTGTTTTCT